AGCTTTTGAAAAACGTAGTCTTTTTTAATTGTTAGAAACAACTTGAAGAAAAAAAACTAAAAAATATATTGAAAATGTAAACATTACATAGGTTATTGGTTAATGCACTTTTTACATTTAATTCATACAAGTTATTTCATCATAAACGTACTAATAAGTAGCCCACAACAGCTAGTAGCCTAAATGGTAAAACATTTATTGTAGGAAATGCAAAACTGCCAATAGCTTCTAAATGCAATGTAATTTGGTTTTCTTGTTATTTTGTTTAAAATAAAAGTTATTCAAATGACTTTTATAGATTGGTGTCAGGAGAAAATTCTGCCTTCCACAGAGGACTTTTTATTTTTCACTTTAGAAAACCACATATATCGGTACTTTAAATAATCTCTTCTAGACGACTCCAGTGCATTGACCTGAAGAAACTTTTAAGAACTTCATTAATATCTGGAGAACCAAATAACATCCTTTACTGATCCAAGGTGTTGCAAAAACACCGAAGAATCTTTAAATATTATGCAAAATGTTTTGTTACATTTAACAAAAACAAAAAAAAAACTTGGTGAGTGCGTGTGTGTGTGTGTGTGTGTGTGTGTGTGTTTTTTTAAGTCAGACTTACTGTTTTGGTTGTCACACGGAGACGATCTGTCCATGGTGGTGTGTTGATCATTGCTCTGCATCGAGAAGGCCTGGACGCATTTAGGTGATGTCTTGTTGTAGTACTGCACATTGTCTAAAGTCTCCATGACTTGGTCCATGTAGTAATCGCTGCCTTTAATCGCTTGACTTTTCAAGGAGAACTTGTCGCTCAAGTACTCCATCATGGTCCTCTGGCCTCGTCTCAAGCATGTAGCGCGTCAGTGGACACCATAAATGTTTTAGTGATGTCAAAAATGAAGCAATGCGGCCAATTATTTGTACAAGTCGTTAATTTGTCTTGTCTTAAAGAGACCGAGGGCCTCTCTTTATACGGCATAGAGTGCGAGCTTCAAGCAGCCACCCAACTTCTGAATATGGAGAAGGTGAAACTCCACCCACGCGCATGCACAAGCTCTAAATAAGATTTATGAAACTCTGAGATGACCCGAAATGAAACAATTACACTTGCTTTCGCTTTCAGTGTGTTTGGATATCCCTAATGATTATTTAACTGATAAATCTGACTCCAGCAGATATTTAAAGTGTTAAACCTTCTAAACAATATTAAGTAGGCTATTTCAGTAAACAGAAAAGTTGGTGACTGTTTAAAGAACAGCTATAGAGTATGTTCTTTATGAAGAACAGTAGAGAGTAAATCTTTAGGAGTAAAAACTTATTTTACTTTACTTTGTATAGCCTAACTTACATGCAGTTATTTCATTTTAAGTTAATAGCCTAAATGTAGCCTAATATCACGATGACTAGAAAAAAAACCCATCAAAACATTCCACCAAGGGTAACGTTTGTAGAAAAAAAACGTATTTAAACTACTGCAAATAAGTATTTAGTAGCCTATTTAACTTGCAAAATAGCATCTTTGTTCCAACGCATAATTTAGTGTTATTTATTTTAACTACTTTTTTTTGTTCATAATGGGGAAATAACTTTAAACTACCCATTTTTATTTTTCCGGTTTATTTATTGTATTTTATTTAATTAATTATTTTAATTTACGGTATACAAAAAAAGAAAAGCTTTCCAGAAAAGCATTACGACGGCATTTGGGACGGTGACAAATACTTTCTGAAGGTACATGTCATTAAATTACCAAATGTTATTTAAATATTTTATTTGATCTATTATTAGAATGATTCGAATGATTATAAATCAGCTATACGTTTCGCTTCAATAATCTTTAATATTTTTCATATCGCTTAGTTAGCCTATTCAATAGGCAACATTTTTTAAGACGGCTACACAAATATAAGTTTTCAGTGAACCAGTAAACAGGTATTTACTACAACATTTTTCACATAATTACATATTTTTAACACATTCATTGCATGGTAAACAATGTGTACCTAACAAACTATTAAACTTTTCTCACAATTTTTTAAGTATAGTCATTAGCCTAATATATTTATAAAGATTATGTTCCATATTAAGGGGAATGAATAGGCTATGTATATTATTTCATCCAACATCCCTGGCAGGACAAACCTGTGTTTGCAGGTCTCATGAAATGACAATATTAATCTTCCGACCAAGAAACGAATAATATCACGACGGCATTCAGCACAGAAATCCTGTTACTATGACCTAAATAAAAATACAATAAAAAGTTATCACTTTGTCACACATATTTAAATGTGTGATAAACATTTTCAAGTTACATAGATTTTTTCTAGAAGAAAATATAGAATATATAGAAGAATATATACACGCGTAATATTAAAAAGGGCCTTTTATAGCGTAATTTATTCTGCTACTTTTATCAATTTTGCTCCGTTGACACGCTTGGCTTTATCCAAAGAAAAAAAAACTCCACTGATAAGGCAAACAACGCAGAGCTTTACACACTCTTGACAGCAACAGAGTGCGCATGAGGCCGATTTTTGAATGCGAGATATAAAGCTCGGCACCAAAATGATTTTGCGACCACCTGAACGTGTGTATTTCAAACAGGAAAGGCGTCATCCGATACCACCCTTACTCTAAAGAGTTTGTAAGAGATCACACATAGAGAAGCCCTCTCCTTTCTGCCAGCAAAACCTTACCACCTGCCAGGCTAGCCATATCTAAGGGTCACTTACAATGCTTGGGGTTTGATGGTGCCACTCCAAGAAAAAATGAAAATAAATAGGGGTGCTCTTAAGTAGCAGGGGGGTTTCTTATTAAGGCTCTGAAATGACCTTCTATTTGGACCCCTTGCTGAGGGGAAAATGTGAGAAATTCTCTGTGGTTTGTTGAAATTTTGTCTGCGCATTAAAAATAAAGCACATCAAAGTGCAGAAGATGCTATGAGTTACTGCCTAATTTCACTCAGTTAAGTTCATAAGTACATCAAGAAATATTGCAAAATCAAATAAGTGAGCATTAAAGATATAAGATATTTGAAACATTTGATCTGCCATTTGTTCCTTTTAATAACAAAATAAAAAAGGGAAAAACTGTCACATTACAGAGTAAATATTCTCCAATTTGAGTCTTTTTTGTCATTACAGTTTATTATTTTTGATTTTGCAGGCAGGCAGGCATTTGGACTGATGTTTTATATGTTTTAAACTGCAATTATTAATTAACATATGCTAACATAATGTTTATATCACATAAAAATATTCATACTGCCATCTATAAATTGTATGTGATGATCCTTGCATGTACTTGAAATGATCAAAAAGATACAATATGTATGTGTGTGTGTGTGTGTGTGTGTGTGTGTGTGTGTTATATAATATATAACAATTATACGACTCAAGGATCTCCTTAGTTTGAGCTCTGTCAAATTGGTACAGAGAGATGTTAGTGTTTTTCTTGATTATGAAGGTACATTCTTAAATCATATTAATGGTTTTGTACTGGCCACATGAGGCTTTCAGGCCACTGACATGTTTGCCATTGTTTATCGCCTCTCTCTGTTTCGTTCCCTCTCTCGCTCTCTTATGTACTATAGACAGAATGAATCTCTAGTTGAAGTCAGAGGTCAGTACAAGCGTGTCAGCTGGGTTTGCGTACATACGCCTTTGCAGTCACTTAAGTAATTAAAATGATAATAAACGGTTTGGCCACAGCCACTTCTTCCAGCTGCTGCGATCGAGCTGCTCAGGTCAGGCCAGATGCATTGAGCTTGCAAAGTCAAATTCGGTTTGAAAGGCCTCTTCACTTCAGTGTGAAGGATTATCCAATGAGTATTTATTTTCCCTATGTGTTCCCGGGCAGTTAAATACAACGTAGTCTATAAGAAAGTCAAACAAACCAACAGGTTTTATATGACTCTGAAGGGTTTTACTAACCTTATTCAGATCTGCTCTCGCTGGCACTTGAAAAGATTATCTCTCATGGTTTGCCTATGTTTTCTGTGGGTAACAACTGGCATGAATTACTCGCTGGCATCAGTCTGCGGATTCAGTCTGTTATTCTGAGATTCAGCAAAAGTGGAAACTTGGAAATGTACGGTCTTTGGAGTCCCACTATAAACTTTTTGCAGTCATAGTCTATCTATATACTTTATCTAGTCTATGCGCTCAGAAAAAAAGGTACAAAACTGTCACTGTGGTGGTATCCTTTCTAACCTTATCCTTTTGTACCTTTTTTCTGAGAGTGTAAGTATATAATATATACTGTATACATACATAAACACACACTTGTAGTTGCAAAGTTACTTATAGTTACTTATAGTCAGTAGAATATCTAAAGTGGACTATCAAAATAAAGTGTAGCCTATTTTTATATCTATTTACAGTATTAAATGTATTTATGTGTATATAATTCAACAAGACAATACCACAGCAGTCAGCCAGTGTCTCTGGATTAAGTATGAGACCTATGGGCCATCTGCCCAAACATGATGCCAAAACTCCCACTAATAAGGCATCTCTTTTCAAGATTTATTTTAGAATTTCTAAGCATAAAAATGAGCCTTAAGCTGGTGCCTGAAAGTTCTTTTCCAACCACTGTTTTGAACACTCAGCTTTTTGAAATCCAAATTAAAATACACAAACAAGGATATCCTTATCTGACACTAACACTAAAGAAAACACTTTTAACTCTGATGTATGCATTTCTTTTTACGTATTTTTGGACTTGTTTGCCATATACGCATTTTATGAGAGATTACAATATAGGTGTTTGAGGCAGAACTGTGTATATAGCAAATAATTTATTGACAGTGATCTTTGATATATTACTTTCATTAAATGTGCATTGTCTTACTTTTAGCTTTTAGAACAACACAAATTCCCAGTATAAAGAAAGAAAAAAACCCTAAAGTAAATTGAAACAGGAACGAGCTGGTTTCTATTGCCTGTCATTGTCTGCATATTAAGCATGTCATTTGTAAATGGTTTCCACCCAGTCCATGGCTCGCAGTGCTCATGTTAAATGGAGTGATACTTGAAAGCAATACATATCCTGTGACCGCCTGCAGATATTTGGGCTATATCTCATCCATTGCTTCTAATTCATTTGCTGGAGAGGAAGCTGGATTTTAGTAAAAACAGCAGCTGCAAGGAATTTCAGCGGAGATCAAATGGGCATTGTAAGTCTTGTTAAGGGCTTACATCGACAAGACATCCATCACACTCTGAATATATACACAGCCGCAAATACGAAGGGAGAAAACAAAAGAACAAACTGAATCAATATTATCTCAGTGCAACAAACACAAGCTGATGTAGTTATCTTTTTACTTGTTCAATTTGGCTCTCTTCTTTCCTCCACCCCAGCCTCCGCTGTGTCGCACTGGGCCGTCCCAGAACGAGATGCGTTCATTTCGGATCGGAGCTGAATTGACTCTTGTAGGTGATGGCACTTCTGTTTCTGTGGAGACAAAGGTAATTTTATTTAAAAAAAAAACACCTTCAATAATGCTAATACACCTGATAAGACTTTGACTGACATTTATGGAGTTTCCAACAAGCACAGTTCTTTCAAACACATAGAACAAAGCAAGCTTTTTTCTCTAGCTGATGCGTTCCACGTGTAGAACCCGTGGCTGTGCTCAGCAAGCGGTAAAATGAAACAGCAAGGAAAACTTCATCGATTCGGGAGGCTACCGTGCACCACTTATCTTCCTGCACATAATTCTAAAACTTTAAAAAAATGATAAATTATTTTTATTTCAAAGATTCAATGCCAAGTAACTCTTCTGTTCCCTGGTTCTTAATAAATGTAATACATTTTACAAATGTAGTAATTGTTTAGCTAACACAAATATTTGTTTTTACTACATTTGTCTTCATTTGTTCCCTGCCTTTGCCGATTAAAGTGGAAAAAAGTAGACGTCTGCTCTCAACGGGTATTAATCGCACTTCAAACCCTGGACGTTTATATTCAAAGAGACACATGTTGTTGCCCGTGTTCTGTGGGCTGATATTTAATAAAACGGCCACACACTCACTTAACCACTGTGACCAAACAAATTGTTTTCAGCCATTTTGCTCCCATTACCTTTGAAAGAGGGCAAAAAATGAGGCACCAGGAGATTTCCTCTACACATAATGAAAACGTTTATGGCTCCCTAAACTACTCTTTATGGCTCGGCCCCAGTAAGTAGAAGGTATCTTGTTGCATTAAACCTAAGTAGTATTTATAGAGTCCTTACTGTAATTGAACAATGTACTAAGCATGTCAACTTTGTGCTCATGACCTAATGACTCACGATGATTTAATTCAAATGACAAGAGGCCTATGAGGAGCTGGGAAAATTTGTTTTATGTTAGCTGATAAACAGACTAATTTACAACGGGAATAAAACATTATTTCAGAAAATGAGTAGTGATATTTGTGGATTATAAAGGAATGGTTTTGCATGTAAAGTGAATTATCTATAAATAAATCTTTTACGTTCTCTTTGATCTGTAGAATCAGGCCTCTCTCCAATAAATCACCTAAAATACCTCTATGTGAAAGGCTTGACTGAGTTCGTCATTCAGACAGCCAGTCAGTCATTCAGTCAGTCAGGCTGTCAGCATCCTCGTGGATTTCATTTTCAAATCATCATCAGAATCCAATTTAGCTTCATTAGGACAGACAGTGAAAAGCTTTCACAGTGCGTCATGACTGTGTTAAACGCGCTGAGACGTGCTTGTGCCAGTCAGTGGGATCTTTGTCAGGGTGAGTCCTGAGTGGTATAGTGTGTGTGACAGAGCTCGCACTTAATCAGCGAGCTGTCAGAGGTCTCTCGCTGTCCGTTTCCTGCTGAAAGAGAGATTATTCCCCCCACCGTCCCCTCATTGACCCCGGCATCTGTCTGCAAAGCTGACACATGCACACATAGGCAATTATACACATACATATTCTCAAACATGCTTGCATTAACCAGAAGCATACATTTTTTTTAAACATGTTTATCTTGCATTCACTTTTTAATAAGGTGGAACAAAATTACAAACATATTTTAACATATATACTGCATTTATATAAATGGCTTTCGACTGTTGTGAAATCGGATTTGTGTGATGTTGTAATGGGTTATCAAGTGAGCCAGATGATGTGTACAGTCATGTCAGTTTCCATCGTGTGCTTCACGTCACACCCACTGCACTCTGTGTGCAGTATTTGATTTGGCACCTGACCCACATGATTTAACTTCACATCATTGTGCACCAAAAAAGAGATATAGTAAAAAAAAATGTATCCAATGGTGTGCTGTATGTATTCATAACAGAAGTGGAGAAGGGAGTTTGACTGCTTTCAAAAAAACATGCTCTTTTGCTTGTGTGATGTTATCAACAATGCAGGCACAGATGTTTCTAATGTTAATGGGGTGTTTGCATACTTTATAACTTGTATTTAAACAGTAAAATATGGTCAAATGTTTGGAATAATTAAGAAAATTTAAGCTCCTATGATAGCAACGCTGAATTTTCAGCTGCCATTACTATTATTCTCCCATCAAATTATTCTTCAGAAATCATTCAACATTAAAAGAAATAATTATTCCAAACTATAAGACCGGTAGTATATAGAAGAAAATGTGTGTTTTTTATAGCTGGTATTTATTTTGTTATGTTATTTTATTTTGATAGTATGCATTTTAAGTAAAAGACTCACTTGTGTTTTCAGCTGAGTATCTTCGAGGCTGAGTATACTTTTTAAGAGGTGGAGAGACACTAGTGGAGTCAGTCCAAAATCTTGCTCCTGAATCTCCACCGTCTCTGTCCCCTATGGCCTAAGAAAAAACAGATACAAGTATAGGCATATTAACATATTAAAGTATAGGCAACCACTCACACACACGAACACGCATAAATTTACTCTCCTATAAACAAATATCTACAGGGCTGAAAACAGCAGCAATTGTTAGTAAGTTTTCAAAGTATTTACTTTAAATTTAAATTCACAATTAATTAAAAGTGAACAGTGGCATGTCTGTGTGCAGATTTAAGTATAATAAATGATAAAAAAATAATAGCTCTTACCACAAGCTGCACCCTCCCACCATTAAGAATATCCTGGCCAATATCAGGGAGGAAATGATCCCTAAAAAAGTCATTGAATAGATTACCTCTAACACAATTTACACCACAGCACATTCACAACATGTGAGACCACTATAACTGATCACCATTATGAACTGTTAATAACTTATCTTCAATCTGTGTATATTTTTCAGAAGAATATAGTTCAGAGCAGTGTGTCTCACCGTCCCGTGCCTGCAGAGTCTGTTTCGGGATGAACTGCTTGTGTGTGGAGCCACTGGTAAGTTCTCTCCTTGTAAGATTGTTTTTCCTCTGCTTTCGGTAATTTGTGAACTTCATTCACTGCTTGGTGAACTGCATTTGACATGAAACAAGAAGAAAAGCATCCAAAACAGTTTTTTTTTCTGACACATCCATTTAAATATTTACAGAAATAAACATTACATTTTGAAGGGGGGTTGTTTGCCAGACAACTCCTGATAAACACCAAGTTAATCAAAAAAGGAATAGTTTTGGACTGTAACTAAGAAGCAGAAGAAACAAGTCTGCGTGGTGGATAGCAAATGCAAATGACAGTTGTTTCAGGAACTTCTGTGGTGTATATTTACGCCTACTGAGCAAAAAAAGAAAAACTAAATGAGTACGTAGGAAGTAGGGAGATTTATGGACAGTGTCCATACCTGTCACCAAAAAGCCCTAATTCAAAGTAAACATGTTCTTGGTACAAACTAGCATGAATTGATAACGACTTCTGACGGCCAAGTGCTGGAACTAATGAGCCATTTATTTAAGTCATTTTCATGGTTTTGCCAAAAAGTAAAGCGCAGACAAGGTTTATGGGTTACAGATGTCATGGGTTAATTGAAAATCCACTAAAAATGTCAAGTGATTAACTCCTCCCTAAGGGCTGAACAACGGAAAACAGAAAAAAGGCAATCTACATTTATTGCTGATGAAAAGTCCACAAGTGAAACAATTATTCAGCATTAACAGTATGTTTGCACTTTCAACAGACATGATTTTGAAGCTTTTTCATACACTTTAGGAAATGCAATAAACAAATAAAAAGAATAGATTTAATACAACTATTTGGACTTCAAACATTTGGACACTTAAGTATGAACACATAAAATGTATGAATTATATTGCATTCTATAACAAAATATCCAACCAAGAGGACCCTGCAAACAAATCATGTCGTTTAGTCATTTTTTAACCAACTGGCCCTATGGTCATTTTTATTTGAACAGGGTGCTTGTGCTAATTTTCTTTCAAATAAATGGAAACTAGTTTGATGTTGTCAAATGCAAGTGTGACTGCGTCAAAATACCACTGGGGCCACTGTATGTAAAATAAGTATTAGAATAGAATAGAATAGAATATGTTCATATAACATTATTTATATTAATAGTTCATTTATAGCATATATAGCACTTTATAGATTTAATATAATTTGATGTCAACAATCATAAAACTGTTACGTGAGTTCATAAAAAGTGTGCATTAGGACAGGTTCATGGTTCAATAAGTATTATTATTTGCTGAAAATTTGCAAGAAAAACAGGGTCGAAGTTGTGTGTATATACAGTGAACACACAGATTTAAGGGAAGGACCTCTAGAGTTAACCACAGATATTATATGATAGAAACACATGCAGCATCCAGTAGCTGTCAAACCCGCTTCCCCCCATCTATCCCACCCTCAGGACGTTAGGGGGCCCAGGAGTCACGGCTGTTAGAAGGGCTCTTAAGTACATTAGGCTGTGTGGTGCTGCTATGGCGGTGACAGGAGTTAGAGAATCAGCTTTTTCACGAGGGTCAGGATGAGAGAACCAAACTGCTGGGGGTGAGCGGCTCAAAGTGATTTCCTTAAGGACACTGTGCAGGTATTTTCAGAAATCCTGCTCTTCCTTCATACCAATACTGTCAATATAGTCAATGACACAAGGTCAATCCTGACAAAACCAAGATAACAACTGCCCTTTCTCTCCTTTAAAAGAAGTATTTAAAGGGGTCATATGATGCTTTTTTAAAGATCATTATTTTGTGTATTTGGTGTAACAGAATATGTTGAC